TATTAAATAATTAATTATTGCAATTTTATTATATTCTCAATATTTTAAAACGATTATAAATAATTGTATTAAATCGTATATACCAATATACTGTAATATAATGAATATTAGTTAAGGCAATCATAATTAATTCTATAGATATTGATGGATGATCGATGCACTTGAAAGCAACTATGTCTGTACTCTGTAGAAAACAAATGCAAGTGTAGGAAAGCAGACAGACTTTGAAATTATAAGAGCACTTCCCTATAGTAAATCAAAGTACCAATGAATAGAAATGATGAATTCTAAATAATCTTAATATACTAATAAATAATAACTTATCTATACTTATATCCCATGGCGTTGTACCATCAATATTATAGGTATTATATTACTATGAATTACTATCATTATTATGTAATTGTTTTAAGATATTCATTATAATATGAAAAAATTAATACGTTATTTAATTGTTTAAAATATTAGAATGTAATAATACATTTTATAATTAATAATATATGATAATATATCAATATTATAAATTTTAGCAATAATATGTTTATAACAAATATGTCTATGCCACAAAAAAACAGTTTGTAGTTTGTTTGTATTCCCGATTAAAATTTCCCGGGTAATGTGCGTACTTTGACCGTAACATATGATATTTATATACAACATAGTGTACTCTATCTCTGTCTATTCAGTTACTGAATAGACATATTATATTCTGAATTTCTGTAGAATTAAATTCTACACAATACAAGTAATACAACACATGAACAATTCACAATTTTGCGGCGCAGTAAGCGACGGCGCGCGCAGTGGCGTTGTGGCACCGTCTCGAACTAATGACCGAGTACGATTTACTATTATACTTAGTACCTATTTAATACTAATATACTACATTTCATTAAAATCTAAAGTAACATTCTAAAGTTTGGAAAATTCATAAATAGTATATTTTAATCGGAATAACATTGGAATAGATACCTTAGCGTTTCCAAATCCATCCTAAAAATTAATTGAATATCATGCCTGTGCTTCTTTGGTAGGTATTCCGATTGAAACTCAAGGACCTTCATACAGAAATTATTGTACTAAAAGAAAATTTAGCTCTTATTAGTTTAATGTATTAAATGCAATTATTTTTATTTTTATTTTTATTTTAAACAGTATACATTGATATGAATTATCAAAACTCTTTAGTGTCATAGCGACATAGAGTCCTTATAGTTTCTCAACCTGTGGTAGGCGTGAATGCGTGATAAGCTAAACAAATCTCTCTTTGTATAAGAAAAAAAATAGAATGGATCATTATTCACATTAATTATTATTTGATTTATTTGATATTAAATATTAATAATAATATAAATAATAATTGTTCATTTAATTTTATTTTTATGTATTAAATGCGTACACTATATCATAATTTTGTAGTTCCTAATAACATAAAATTTCATACATGTAAAATAACGTATACATTTTTGATAAGCGAAAAATAAAATTATTTGGTCAAGTGGTGCATGACAATTTTCAAAGTTCAAAGTGTGTACCTAGGTGGTACGCGAATATAAAAATGTCGAGAACCGCTGTCGTAGACCATGTAATAAAGTAGCGACCCAAAGTCTATGATCGAACATAAACGTTCTCAGAAAAACATATACATTAAATGAATCAAGTAGATTTGGTTGTAATTTCTGTACAACTGCGTGCGTAAGAAATTTTTAATGGCCGCAAAAATAATAAAATACATATTTTTTATGTTTTTAAAATTCCAATTTATCGATCCGTAGGCAGGTTAAATAAATCATAAAAAAACCGCATACGAGCAGCTACCTGTAGCCTAAATAGCTGCTGACGCACACAACTACGGTATAAAATATCATCTTTCGAGGTACCTACAGCACCCTGTATATAATAATAATTATAATATTATAGTTGCGTAAAGTCAAAAAATCGAGTTATTTTTTTGGTCACCACCACCCAGCATAAGTAATCGTGTGTCCGGGCACACAGTGGAAAGCACGTCACACACACACAAACACACACACCATTGTAATGTAGGACCGGCGCGATGGGCGGGTGTGAGTGTTATTGAAAATCTCCGTCGAAAACGACATCATTAGGTTAAATCGACGCGCCGCGAAAGTTTCCGCTCTTGATATAAAACCGTCTGTAACGGTATAATATAATATTATATTAGATAGGTACACACACACACACTCAATGTGCCTTAAAAAAAAGAGTAAAGAACGTTCCAGCAGCCAGCGAATGGCTCGGGCTTTCTATAAAATATACGCAGAGCCAGCATCGGAGATCGGTCGACCTATACGGAGGTGGTGGAGGTGGCGGTGCAAACCGGTTCGGAGTAATTGGCCGGCGTGCGACACGGCGCGGAGACCGGTCGAAACGAATTAAAAGACTAAGCTAAAAAAAAAAAAAAAACGAATTGCATTCCCATAACGTCATAACGGTACAACGTAGCCGAAGTAAACTGCACGGCTCGAACGATAGTGACTTTGGCGAGGGGGCGACGGGAGTGTAAATATTTTTTTTTTTGGAATTCGTTACCCATATAATAGTATTATGTACAATGTACATTTCACTGAAATGCGCAGCGGAATTGAACGCCGCCGCTGGAGAAGGAATCGAAAAATTAACTGCAGACGATTTTTTTGGTCACCATTATTATTTAATACCAATATAATACCATATAATATAATGTATGTCGTATGTATGACGATAAATAATAATAATATTTGGGTCACCGCCATTACGGTGATAATGCCGATAACTTCAGATCAATCGAGACCACTTATAGGTGTACCCACATAATATAATATTACACCAAGGGAAAATTTTGTCGGTTTGCGCAAATCTGCAATACTACCACCGAGAGCGGATTTCCGAAAACCGATAGTATCTGAAGGGGACAATTAATGTTTTCAGCAAAAAACGATTGTATTCAGAGTTATTGTATACTAGTTTCCTTCTGAACAAAAACATGAACAACATATTGTTCGTGTGTATAAGTGTATAACAGTCAATAGACACAAGTATACAGGAAACAAAACCTATCAAAACTACTACGCGTCTATCATCGTCAAAAATAATGTCACCGAAAACGCACGTGAATCAACAGTGTTATATAATTATTAAAACTGTGTAACAATACAAAATGGTAGATAGATGACTAAAGTACTTACTTTGGTTAAAATTATCATTAACAATTTTTTTATTCAATTATATAGGTACCTACCTAATAGAAAATATTGTTACGCTACGAAATATGCACGATAGATATGTATCTACAAATTAAAGAACGTTAATTGGTCCAACCAAACTGTTCATTAATTGCATTCCATGTATTCGTATTTTTTGTAATTATTGTTATCCTCCACACTCGGTGAGATATACCATAGTACCCATACATTTTATAAAACCGTACTGTCTGTATAAAATATTCTGAAATTAAATAATCACATAATATATAATGTGTATACTATTTATTACGGTCAATGCATAAATGTTAAACACATTAAATTATGATATGCGTATTTAAATCAGATTGTCTGGCCGCCCACCACTGCACGCCGTGAAGACGGATGACGTCATGGCGCGTGTAAAAATCGTGAGTCAAATATTATCCGGGAACACTTGAAATTCTCGAAGATCAAAATATATTGTACGTAGATACACGCAGTAAATAGAACGTTTACGCATACAAAGTTCGCAGCGCTTTCAAATTTCGAACTAAATTAGAAAGGTTTTACACTGTAACATAACCTTCGGCATAATATATTCGTGTTAGTTCCTGAATGAAATAGTTGTGGTGGTTACAAATTACAATTGAACCAGTTTGACTGCATACGACAATGTCTTGTTCACAGTGAAATGTCTTTCTTCTTTTCATAAGCTCAACATCCAGTTAGATTAGAATTGAAAATAATTTTTACCGAGCAGTGAGCGCCATTAAGCCGCTACAGCGTTGTTTTAATAGAAATAGAACGGCCGAGATTTAACAAGACGTTTGTCTGGGATCACAAAAATCAAAATCAGGCAAAATGCCAGAAAAAAAAGTAAAGTTCACTATATTTATCCCTAAAATGAATATTAGCAAAGACGCCTTACTGAGACAGTAATGTGTACATAAACATAAATTTGTTGATAATGCATTTATGAAGTGTCAATTAGAGAGCCTATATAGGCTCTCTAGTGTCCATGAATCATTCTTTAAAAAGTAATTAATATTTTTCATAATAGATGAATTAAAAATCGTCTTTTTGAAACGTTTAATGTTTATTATAGACATATATCATCTATGCTTGATCAAATAAGATAAACCATGCTTATTATTACTGACAGTTATAAATTGTCATTTTTAATTGATTAATAATTTATGTATTTAGTATTTTTAATTTAAGATTGTAGCTAGTAATATTAGTATATAGCAAATACATTCAGTGATTTTTTTTTAAAATTTTTATTGATAGTTTGATGATTAAGAATTTATTCTCATAAAACAATGACATTATAAAAACAGAGGAAATAATTACTAACCTGTTTAAAATTATGAACAATAATTCTCCAATTCATGAATAATTCTTAAAACTCAAATTTGATTCACGCAACAAAAGATAATACAATATATTTTGAAGAAAAAAAAAAAATTACACAAACCAACATTTAAAATCACATTCCTTATAATAATAAAATTAACTAGTATTGTTTATGTGTCCCATTACCTAGTTGATAACCCTAATACTAAATATATTATAATTAAATGTCAAACAATAATAGTTAAAAAGCAATTTTGTGGTTTATAAATAAAATTTATCTAAAAGTATGTTTTACTTTACAGAAGATTCTTAAGGTAAATTATACCTTCAAAGAAACGAAATAAAAATGGAATCGAGATATTGTTATGCCACTAGAGAGCAATAATGTTACTAGTGGTACAGTAGTGACATACTGTTAAGAACTCTTGTTGCGCTCACCAATACAATTTCTTTTCTCATTTAATAAGATTCAGAGTCACTAGACACAAGAATCACACGCTCTGTATCTCGTTTACTCTTAACAACCGGTGTTATTAGCTCATTGATCCACTCAGAAGGAGCAGGGCGTTTTTCAGCTTTGGTCCAACCATCATCAGACTCGGGAATATAATAATCGTCCATTGATGTTCTGGAGTAATCATGGTCTTTATTGCGAGATAAATTGTTAAAATCCAATAGCTCGCCAAGTTCGGCCATAATGGTATCACTTTGTCCATCAGCTGATGATCCATTTGCTACCATGTTTAGCATATCCTTCAAATTGGTGGTGCTCAAGGGTGATCCCGATTTCGAGAATAACAAGTTTCTCGATCGACCTAAAAATTGCAGAAATATGCCGTTTAAATAAAATATTTTAACTTAGGTATTACAAATAACACAAACCTGGAACAGCTGTATTGGACTCCTGGCCTTCTATAGACATTACGTCTTTTTCGTCAGTTGCTATAGGCCTCAAATTAGGTGCTGCTATTAAAGCTAATGACATCATAAGAACCAACAGACATGTGGCAGGTTGTGCTGTTGTACCACCTGGAGCGATAGCATTTTGTAAACGTTTTAAAGCAGCTTTCAATCGTTCATTTTCAGTCTGAAGCGTGCATACTTTTTTAATAAGCTGGCTATTATCATCAGAGCATTGCTTGACTCTAAAATATAACATTTATTTTTATTAAATTCATGAATCTAAATAAAATATAATAGTTTTCATTATTTTCTTACCTTTCTTCAAGACCGTCAACATATTCCTTCTTTCGTTTTCTTGAATCTTGGGCAGATATTTTGTTTCTTATTTTACGACGAATTCGCTTTAAATCTCTTTCTTCGTGTTTTGTTAGGGGATAATGTGTTGGCAATTTAATTCCTTCCTTCTCCATTAATTTCCTTTCTTCATCTACAAGTAAAAACAAAATATAAAACAATTAACAGCTATTATCAATATCCCGCTTTAATTGATTAACTTACTTGATAAATGAAGCCGTGGATACATAGAATCGGACTCATCACTTGTGCATTCAGACATCACAACTTTGGTCTGTTTTAAAGCAGGCATGGATTTTGAGACCATTGAACCATTATTCCTCACAAATATTCTTCTTCCATTGTTTATAGACTGTAATCGTCTGAATGCATCAGCATTGATTGTTTTACCATTCTGATTAACCACCTAAACAATAAATTTAAATTATGAATATTCAAATTCCGTTAAAAGTAAATAAATCCTTCTCACCTTAATTGTTTTGACATTAGATAAATTTATTGGTATAAAAACAGGTTTTGACAAATTTTTAGAAATAGCAATTGGCCCTTTGGACTGTTTAGGGGATATAACTACTGTGCGAGGTGTAGTTTTCAATAATTGTGGTTGTTGAATAATAGTAGGTTTTTCTTCTAAAATATGATTATCTTTATTGTTAGTTTCTTCATCGTTTTCTTGATTTTTGTCATCATCAATGTCTTCATCCTCCTCATCAATTTCTTCTTCCTCCTCATCAATTTCTTCTTCCTCCTCACCAATATCAACTATTTCCTCTTTGACGAAAGAGTCATATATGAAGTCCATTTTAGTCACGGCATCATCAGACTTAGATGATTCTGATATTGGATTGAATGGCATATTATCCACAGATGAAAGTCCTATACATATTTACTTTTATCAGAAATGTACTATAATATAGTACCAGTGTACCTAATCAATTTTATTTAAGCTCTTGGATCATATTATTGTTTATATTATTATTGAAAATATTAAATATATATAATTATATTTATAAAGAAACAAAACAACTATAGATATATAATTATACTAGACTCAGAAATAGGCATGAATCTTTTCACTGAATTACAGGTAGTCTTAAATATAAATCTAATAATGAATTTAGTTTTGCAAATTTAGATAAATAATTTTAGTTACTAAGTAGGTAGATACTTATTTTTAACTTAACAAATATTTTAGTTAATAATTATCTACCTAGGTATACTTAAGTAATTATTTTTAAAAGTTAAATATACTGGAAAGGTTGGAAATGTTGGAAAAAAGACGGTTAAAATTTAACATATGAAATTGAAATAAGTAACATATGTTTCACTTGTTTTATGCAAATTTTACCTATAAACAATGCAAATGTGACATAAAATCTTTCAACTAATGAAGGAAATCTATTGGTGGGTAATAGAAGACCATCCAGTCATTTGTGCGATGTGGGTAGGCATAACATATGTCGGGGTGATTGGGCATGTATACACACGCTGGGGCAGTTTAAAGGTAGTATTTAAAAACCGTACCGCTGTCTGAGCACGAACTGCTCTCGGCGTTGTCGTAGGACCTCGGCGTGGTGGCCGCGCTCGACATGAAGTCATCGTTGCTGGACAAGAACTCAAACGGCTCCGAGTCGTTTAGGTTCTCCATTTTCAGCAGAGAGTCGAGGAAATTGTCATTGCCTAGGTCCCAGTTCATGGCTCTCTAGGGTTGTAAAAAAAATAAAAAATCCAAATCAGATTCCGGTGGGTTCCGAATCGTGCGGGATCGCACCCTGCGGACACCGCCCACCGACCGTACGCCGCCTCGGCGAGGAGTGCCGACGGTGCGATCGGTGGACGGGCGAGACGCGACAGGATCGCAAGAGAAACGTGACGACTTACCTCGGCTTCTCCGTCCGGGGCCGGCTTGTCGAAGACGTCAAGCGTCGACGTATCGTTGAGCAGCATGTCAACGATGCTCAGCGGGCACTTGCCGTCGGCCGACATGGTGGTCGCGTCCGCGTATCGACCGGAACAGATGTCGCGGGCAAACCGAAGTGTTCAATCAAATCTGCGGTGGCGGCACGCACTGCACATCTCGCGTAGTCGCCGGACCGGTCACATTACGTTATTTTTATTATTGGACGCGATAAACCGTACGGTATAAACTGTAAAGGTACACTCGGAACACGACCGCAACAACAACAACAATGATAAATAGGTAACAATGTTGCGACTCGATATCGATATTATCGCGACGGTAAGTCGTGCCCGTGCGACGGCGGCGTGCGGAAAAGTATGTGACGTATGCAAAAAATAATAATAATAATAATCGACAAAAATTGACCGACGATCGAGCGGCTAGCCACCGATACTGCGGAGTGCGGACTGTGGTCGTGCGGCGTGCGGCCGTGCGGGGCCTACGTTACGTACACCGTACGTCGGTACATTAAAAACGCAATCTTGTTTACCTGCACGCCGCGGTTCGGACGGCGTCGATTGGCGGACGGGAAAAGGGATGGGCCGCCGGTTGGGCGCGCAGTGCTGCCGCGGCGGACGGCGCTAAATCACCGCCGGGCGCCCGGCTCTAACGGCCGCCGCGCCCATGACTAATCTCGCACGACGGAAAGTTCGAAAATAATAAACAATATAATTAATAATAACCGATAGCGATTAGCGACGCCATGACTAATCTCACACGATACGGAAAGTTCGAAGGCAATAAAATAGTATAAATAATAACTGATAGCGAATTACGCGCAGACGCTAGACACAGTGTCACATTGGTATTTTGGTACATAATATCATATTATTATTATAGAACAATAATAATATCATATTATTATTATAGAACAATAATATAGCCAATAATAGGTACCTACCTATGATAATAAAAATAACGTTTATTTGCATGTATATACAATATATATACAACCATTTCATAATGTATTATACATTTATACACATGTCATGACTACATGTAGTTATAACATATTAACTTATGGACATAATTTGGCACGTTAGCATACAGAATTTGTTGATGCATCAGCATCATGCCATCATAAATATTATACATTTTTGTTATTTTTTTCTATTTCCTTGGATTCTAAGAATCATTACTTTCAAACAAGCTGCATTAGTTTAATGTTTTAACTATTTTTAAAATAGGTACAAACTACATACATATTTAATAGTGTATATTGGACAAGTAGCCTACTCGAAGTAGGTATATAATAGATAGGTCACTGTAAATTGTATAATGAATGTGTTAAATTTAAATTCAACGATATACCATACACAATATATGCCTACAGGCTACAGATATATATATGTATATCATTGTATACGAAAAACGATTCTCAGCGGAGACGGACGTATCAGCCTAGGATATTTGTATCTATAGTAATATTATTATTTTATTAGTATAACAGTATAAGTATATAGGTAACAAGTAAGTAGAGGATTAAAACTTGAATTCACTTCTGCAAAAACATTGCATACCTACCTATTATTATAAAATTATCAGTAATTTTTGCTTGAAGTATGAACTATATTCTTATGAGAAACCTTGTATTATCTACATTTTCAGTCCTTAACTATAAAATTGAGCATTTTATAATATATTTTTAACTACAAAATAATTTGCAAATGTTCGTGATTTTGACGAATATTATCAACATTTGAACTTTAAATGCTTATAAAAAAAAATCGCATCTATGTATCATAAACAGTGGCGCACTCAAGGGGGGGGCTTTGGGGCTTAAGCCCCCCCCCAAAAAAATATTTTTTCATTAAATTACACATTATTATAGAAAATATAGTACAACAATGATAAATGATAATGTTTTATTTTAAAATTTTGTTATTATGTTAGATACACATATAATATATAGGTACATAATAGTTCAATACTACGCGATAAGGTTTGTGACAATCAATATACCTACTCTACGGTGGCAATCGTCGATTTTTATTTCGTTGAAAATTATTTTTAGATTTATAGATACAATAACGATTACGTACGATCGACTTTGATTGTTAACTACGATAACAATGATAATTATGACTTTCGACTGTCTGTGGCATGAAAATCTCGTTTAGATAATTCAGTCTGTTCGATTTTTTACAAAATTGGTTATTTAAAAATTAGTTTTAATTGTTTACTTGTGTGTAAGGGAAAAAGAAAAATTATTAAGCCCCCCCCCCAAGCAAAAATTCTGGGTGCGCGCCTGATCATAAATATTTGTAAATACCTAAAATAACAACTTATGATGAGGAACCTTGTATTAAATTTGTAAGCATTTTTACTGAACAGATAATTTTTTACTGATATATTAATTTATAGAAAATAAACTAAAATAAATAAATAGACAGTCTTACTTTTTGATAACCAAGGTACTAATTGATAAACAATTATTTTAATAATAATAAAATGTAAACAATTGTTAGTATTTTTCTTCCTCAATTATTTTAAAAAGTACTGAGAATTTTAAACTTTGGGTGACCCTCCCCAAACTTAAGGTACCTACCAACTAGATCCAATTTTCTACCAGGAACCACCATCGAAATTGATGAACCGAGCTTTTTTCTATTAGAAACATGTTTTTAAACACAAAAAAGCAATACACATCATTGCACAACCAATACCTACATTAATATCACTACCCTCAGAATCAAAAATAGGTTAAAATACACTTTATTTTTGCAGCCTCTTAAAAACCATAGATGTTAAAGCGGTGTTCCACTATACACGGGTGTGCCGTGTGCACAAAATATGATAAACACTCATTTTCTCGAAAAGTATTAACTTTTTATGCGGAATTAATATTTTTGGATGATTGATGGCATTACAAACCAAAATGTTATTTCGGAAATAGAATATTATTCGAACAACTATTCAGAGGTAGGTAGTTTATTAGTTATAAGTAGTAAGTACCTAGGTACTTGAAGTTTAGATGATTGCATGAGCAGGGCCGTCCCGAAAGACAAATCATGGGGGGGTGGTTTGATTCATAATTTGCCAACTCCAAAAAAAAATTTTCTCGCTTCGCTCGACAATTACCTCCTACCTGCGACTACATGCATAGTAGTCAGTAGACAAATGTTATACAATATTAAATATTTTATTATGTTCTTACTATGTTCTTTTATTATATCAACAAAAAAATATTATAATAAACTTAACAGTTAACACTAAATTTATATACGTCGGTTTTTAAAATTGACCATTGATGTGCTATTTTATTTATATCCAATAGGTCAACACAATATCTTTTTCTACTCCCAATACAATTAAAGAGTTTAATCTCTCATCAGAAATTGTTGACCTAAGATGTGTTTTAATCAATTTTAGTTTACTAAAAGATCTTTCGTTTGATGCGACTGTTACAAGAGAAGTCAATGCTAAACGACAAATTTGATTAGCACATGGAAAATAGTTTTACTTCTTCTGTTTTTTCCATTAAAGAATTAAATGGTAATGTTCTATCTTCTTGTAACATACTAAATAATATTTCTAATTCTGTTTGAACTAAATCATAATCTAGAAGGTAAGCACCTACACTGCTTGGTGGGAACAAAGAAATGAAATATTGCTTTTATTAAATGGTTGAGTAAATAATGGTTGAATAGAAGAAATACATGATTTTTAATTATCATTTGTTAGTTTTAATAGGGTATCTAGAACCATTTTAAATTATTTTCTATAAAATAGATGCATTGTGAATTCAGCTTGGGTTGTGACTTGTGGAATTACAATCATATCGTTTAGGAGCTAATCTTTTACGATGATGGTTTTTAAAATCAGCGCACAATTCCTTATCAGTTATCATTACAGCTTTATTAAAAATAATTCAATGATTACCTATATGACAGAATATAATATATTATGAAATTTCATATATTCTGTGATTATTCGAATATGTATAGGCAATTTTGTATACTGTTATAATATTATATATGCGATACATTGATAGGTAAAGTCTAAAATATTATAATAGTATTAACTGTGTTGGACAGTTGGCAATCGGAAAATTAACTTATAATACCTCATATATTATAAATTACAATATATTATTATGATATATTTGGACTTAGTAGTATATACAAAATTATTAAAAAACTGTAAAAAAAAATTATAATTTGCCGAGTGCCAACTGCCCAACTCAAATACTTAATGTAGGTATCAATGTGCCAACTGACATATACATATTATACGCTCAGGGGGGTGGGACACCCCCTAAAAACCCCCTTCGGGACGGCCCTGGGCATGAGCCATGTGGGCATATGGCTATATATTATGAGCTGAGTACCTATGCCTAATGGATCAACATTTGCTGGTTATACTATCTTATTGTGCTATACTTTATACTTAATATGTATTATAGGTGGGCAGATCGTAGGTACTTATTAAAACTAAAAAGTAGTTCACTGCTCGTTCGATATTCAATTTTTATATACCTATTGTCTATTGAAATTATCTAAAAAGTATTTTACTCCAAAAAATAAAATAAAAAATATATTATGCTGTCTGGCTGTCGTTTCAAAACGTGATAAAAGTTAAAAAATTAACGAAACAAATTTTTTTTTTCATTCATCACGTATATAATTTATAATATTAGGTATAAGAACGAGGTACCTATACTATAAGACAGTCTATACCTATACAGGTGTACCTAGCTAGTAGGATATACCTACTAAAACAACAAATCCCACTGTTACAGTTTACTGTCACTGTTACAAGTCACAACATTATAATAATCATAACATCACACATAATAACAAAATTGCAAAGTTTACAGCTACTGAGGAAACATTTCATTTAAAAAAATGTTATGTTACCATTTACCAATCTTAAGCCATAGTTGAAATATATATATATATTACAATGGACTATATATACTATATAGCCATATAGGTACTCTGACATGCTGTATATGTATATTGTATATATAATTATAATACATGTTTAATAATTACATAGGTACACTGCAGTGAATTGTTAGTCT